AGTAATGTAGAATCTAAAAAAGCTGGCAGTTAACTTAAATTGTGTTAAAGACTGACAGTTTGGACAGCTAGCCTTGCTCTATTCCTTAGGCAAAAAAAAAACCCACCAGCACCTCTAAAGCACACCTTCTAACATCTTCTGTCTTTTTGACCAGGGAATAAGGATGTAAACACTTTGTATGGTTATTTTAACCCGGTCCTTTTAAAAGTGAAAAGGAAGTAGCATAGACAAAATACAAATAGTTTTTTTGACGATAAAAAATCCAGTATTGCCAGAGTTCTGCTCCTCTGCTCACCTCCCCCTACTCAGTCGTTTTCTTTTCCCATTTCCTCTGCTCTGCTTTCTGGCCACCTAATCAAGATTCCTCAACTTACCTGTTTCCTAATGCCAAGTATTGAAAGCCAGTATTTAAGCCTTTCACTTTCACTCACTAATTGCCAGATTGTTCTTTTGCCTTACTGTGCAAGTCTTTCACAGCGCTCTCGCTCAGACTGAGTTGCTGTTGCCCCCTCTGCCTGCCTCTGACCTGCCTGGCTTGCTGCAGTACGTGACCACGAGTCCTTGGTATCCTTGGTTTCTGTTCACCTTCCCCTTGGCTGTTTCGCTTTTCCCTGCGACGACTCCACAGAGTGAGTTTACCTGTTTACCTTCCTGTGGATTCCAGTGGTTCAAAGACTTTCGCTGTGTTGCCACATATGTCACTTTATGTACACACCTATACCATCTGGCCAATCACCACCTGATGGTGGAATCCCACCTATTGGTTCCTTGGCATCAACTGAGTGCTTATGTTGTTCTGGATCTGTTGTTTCTTTAACCATGTCTCTTGCATGCTCCCATGCTGATGCCTTGTATGAACAATTGTGTGTGTTGGTGTGTTCCATCCTTACCACACTCACCTATATCGTGGCCCAAGTGTAGTACAGAGACTCTGACAGCTCTAAGCCTGCTAATTAGGAGTGTAAAGCTAAACAGATCCAAAATTGGTAAGCGATCTTAAAGTCAAAGATCCAAATGCATTGGTCCATGGAGCCCTCTATTGGTTAAAATGTGACACGAACTGGCCCCATTTGTTATAAACCGGCCTACTGAGGCTTTGCTACTATAGTTCTCGTAGCTTGTTCTGCATACTGTGCTCACTGTATTCAATCTCTTAAGACTCTTACGTTGACCTTTTACCTTTCCACAAGTATAGCAGTAGCTAGTTAGCAGGAGGTGGCCTATAAGGAATAAATGATGTCTGAAATTGCTGAAGCAATTTACAGTGCTCCACCTCAGAAATTAAGTCATGTGGATTAATGTAAAAGAAGTCTGCCCATCTGTACGCTTTGGAGAAAAGGGATAAAGTACAACTGCAGGAAGACAAATCTTACTTGGTTGTTTTGCTAAGATGCTCCCATAAGTATGCTGCAGGACAAGCAGACCTGAACTTTAAACACTTTTCCCAGTCATAACTTCAAATTCGATCGCCTCAAAAGGAAAGATTCACACCCATAATGTAGCGGCCACGCCCTATGATTTTTGTACAGGAATAGAATTTTAGAATTTTCCCCCTTAAGGTCTTTTCTATACTTGGACCAAGTTTTAAGTAGATCATATTAACCTATAAGTTCAACCCCTGGAATTGGCCAGAAATACATTGCCTCGATCTTTTATTTATAATGTCACATGCACTTCCTGTTAGGTTAGGTGATTCTGATGATTATCATCTCCTGGCATTTTTACAATTCCACCAGAAGTTTGTGGTGTGACTATGCGTTGAAGCACTACATTGTATTTGTGTCACCACTAGGCACTTACTAAGCAACACCTGGCATTTATTGACCACCAGCATCAGGCTTTTAAAGCTTTTCTTTGTCAGAACTTTTCCCATTGTGCAATTGAGTCAGAAAGTTCTCCCAGACAAACAAAAACAACCTTCCAGCTGTTTTCTTTGTAGTCACAATGTAAAAAGAAACTTAAATTAGAGAGCCATTCATTTTAAGATAAAACATGATGATCTGTGTAAGCTCTGTTTTCTGTTTGTTAGAAACAGAAGATAAGATTTGTGAAGGAGGAATAGTGTGGACAGCTCATTTTAATGTATTGCTTGAATTTCTTCTTGATAAAACCAAAGAAAAGTTTGAGTTCTTTTTGAGAAATATAGCACACATTACTGATAGAGCGCAAAACTTAGAGGGTAGATAACGATCGAGCCACATTAAAGAAAATGTAGATTAAAAAAACACATTTGAAAATCTAAGTGACTTATAAGAACATCTGATGTTAATGGACTCAAAGTCTTCCAATTAAGAGTAAGTAACAATTAAATTAGTAAAAGAACAACAACAAAAAAAAAAAACATTTTCAGTCAGTGAAGTTTGAGGGATTCCAGTCAACTGGAGATGTATCGGTGACATTCACAGCAATTTTTGAAACCCAGACCAGTGATGACGTGAAATAGTGGACAATGAGGCCCAGGTTGAAAATAACTGGAGTTATCCTTTATGTTTGGTGACTACGCCCTCTGTGCTCTAGTTTTTTTTTTTCTGAAAGACTTGAAAACAGTCACAGGAAAGAGTATATCAAGATGGAGTTCCTTTTTTAAGCCCCCGTCTCATTGTTTCACCGCAGCGCAGGAGAGAGGAGGAGACGCACTCTTTCCTCGCCTGACGCAAACAGGAGACACACAGCCAGGGATGGACCTCAGGGTTTGGCTACAATTGTTTTTCTAAACTTTATCATTGTGTTTTAAAGGTACTGCATATGTCATACCTGCAGATGACCTGATCTCATACATCATAAATACCATAAATAGAGAAATCCACATAAACAGACACTGGGGGTCAAATTTGAATTGGGTATGGAACTACTAAATGTTTAAAAAACCATTCAATTAGATTTGAAGAGGGACATAATACTTCACTTTATATTGAAGCATGTTGAAGGAAAGCTCATACTTTTTCTCCCAAAAGAGTCATTTAAAGAATTTTATTGAGTAATTTCTCAAAATTTTGAGGATAAGTCTTGATGTATACCAAAACCAACACTAAATCCATCCTTATAAATTGTGTTGCAAAAAAATCTATGATAGCTCTGTCCCATAGAGCTCTGTTATTCAAAATTGAATAATAAAAGTGAGCCACACTTCTTTATACATATGTATAACTTCACTCATTTATTTTAGTCCTTTGGCACTTCAGAGAATAATTATGTGTTAATCTATCTGAAAACAGTCCACAACAAAACAACTTAAAAACAACAGTGCCTGCACGTTTTTGGAAATAAAAGTATATCTTTGTGATGATTGATTAAAGATTAGCATGATCAGTAACAGCTAATGCACCATAGGACCACAGACAGGCAGTGGTAGTCACAAAGAATTGTGGTGAAAAAAAGGGCATTCTCTGTACTGCTCTTAACACACTTCTTGACGATATCAACATTTCTAGCGTTATTTTTTGAAACTTCACCCCTAATCCTAAAACATGTCCCCATGTCAATTATTTATTCCAGAGGTCTGTCACTATTTTCTTGCCCTGCAGATTGCAGAGCTCACCTTCCTCCACATTTATTGACTCAATATGAAAATACTTTTATTGCATCAACACAAAGGCGGTCAAAAGTGCAGCAAATAATGTTTTTTTTAATGAGCCAAACACTTTATTATTGACAGTACTGTTTATGTTCTCAAGCTCGGTATAAGTATTCTGGTATGTTACTGTTTAAATTATTTATTAAGAGTGTTATGCTTATAGTATTTCTAGCATTGTGTGAGGGTTTACATCATTCATTTACATTCATACATTATCATCCATTTTTTAAACCAGTACAGTTAATCCACAGATGAAATATTTACTGTGATACGCCAGTAGTGCTAAACTTCGTAACTAAGGATGGATTTTTTTTAACCAAAGTGTAATGCCTGAAAATATGAAGATATCTAGTTTATTATTTGTTGAACATTTCACCAAGAGAACTCTACAACTCTGAGATTAACCTCCCAGAGATCCCTATGTTACCCTGATAACATCTTATCATGCTTATGTGTTATGGCTCAAAATGGGTAATTCTGTGGACAAGGGTTCCTTTATTAATGCAATTTGGTAGCATGTTGGGTTTGATGTTACTGTACCCATGATATACAGCATAATAAATCTTCACCAGCTGACCACTATTCATGAATAAAAATAGCCCCTCTTACTTCACAAGCAGTTCATTCGCTGAGGCTGAGCATGATGTCCATAAGCTGTGAAGGATGTGAGGTTGGGTTGAGCAGGAAACAGGGAGAGAAGTTTCCTGTTATGTAGAAAAGAGCATGTTGTGTACCAATTAGACAGACAGACAGAGGCTGTTCAGAGAAACAAGGCTAGTTTATACCGAGACAAATGAGAATGAATGATAAATCAATCGTCATATGAAGTACACATGGTATATGACAATGTGTTGTTTTTATATGATCAGCCTCAATACAGATAGACTTCACAGAACCAATCACATTTCAGACTGAAAACATAAAGGAAACCTTTGGTTTAATTGAACTAATTGGTCTCTTTTAAAGCTGGGGAAATTGTAATTATGGAACTAGTTGCTTATTAAATGTTTAAATGTTTTTTATGTGTCAAAGATTTAATAGCTTTTCAATGTTTTCATTAAATTAAATGGGCTCATCAATCTACCAACCCATAAATTATTACTAATCTCTATGATTCCACTGCCATAAATATAAATAATGATTTTTTTTAAGCTCTTAATAAATAAAAATCAATCTTTGCATCACCAAAGATGTTTGAAATTTAAATGTGTGGTGTAAGAATTAAGTTAATAATGTTCTTTATAGCCGTCAAAACCCCTCATGCATCCTGCAGTCTTGTCATTTCCGCTGTTTTTGATTACTTTTACTATAATATAGTGAGTCAGAGTGTACATCACATTTTCAAAGTGGACCTGTAGCTGCTGCAGTCTATTGTATGGCAGAGTGCAGCTCGAGCTTCTCTCTCCATTTGGTTTCCAGTCTCGTCCTGCGCGCGCTCCTGGACGCACAAACGATCTGCTGAGCTGCGTGTCCCTCATAGAGGAAGATAGAAAGAGCTGTGTTCACATACACTTACTCTTTTACGCTCTGTTTGGGCGATTAATATGAGTTTTTCTTCGTTTTAACATTTTATTTTAAACTGCGTATATATCGACGCTGTTTTCGTTGACGAGATGTTGGAGAGGGTCGCTCAGCAAAAATGAACACAGGTGAGATGATTTATTTTACAGGATGGTGCTGGTTTTAAACGGTGGGTCGGTTTTCGCCCTTTTACCATATTTTGAGCGAGAGAGGATTTGCCAGGGGGATAAAATTGAGCCGCAGTTTTACTCACATATTCACATTCTCGACTTTTTTCTTACATTCCCATGGATAGCTACATTCCGGCGGTAGAGACAGGATATGGAGCAAAGTAAAGTGTGTGCAAAGTCCTGATTTTCGATGTTAGAGCAGAGGACAATGTAATACTGCTAACTAATTCACTGCATGCCAATACCCGTGTGAAAAGTAATTAAAAAATATATATTTGATTTGGCACCCATGTTGCTCATTTTGGAAGCTATGTGAATGATTTGTCTCACTTTAATTTGCTGCATTTAAAGTTATTTTCTCTCAAAGTAGTAAAGACAGTTTAAAAAGGGGTCCTCTTACTTCAATCACAGGAAGTGAGTCAGGAAAATCCCTTGGTTTAAAAAAACTTTTTCAGAGGACGTAAAGTGGAGTATTACTCATTTAAGGGCATTTATTGTATTCTTTTATCGCCATTAGTTTTAGTTTGGTTAGCTCTTTCAGCATTGTATAGGCAGATGACGTTTGATATGTTGCCAAATTACTTCTTGAGCAAATATTGTACATGTTTAACAAAGAAAATGATCAAACTGCAACCACAAGTATCTACAATTTTTAGCAGTTTTAGGTCACAGGGACACAATACTATTGACCTGTAAGCTATTTTAAAGCACATAATCTTACAGTTTCCTTTTCCTGTTGTTCTCTCAGAGTGCGCCAAGCCTTCTGTTGCTCCAAAGCCAAGGTTTGTTTGTCACGCCAGCCTGAAGTGGCCCTCCCCTCTCATGTCTGCAGCCAGGGGTTCCAAACCCTCTATAGCCCCAAAACCTAAAGTCACACTGGAGCTGAATGGAAACCAGGCAAGATGTGTTAATGGAAGCTTGCTAACAACCGAAGGCGAAGTAGACGAAGAGCACGAGACTGAGAATAGTCTAAACAATGCTGTTTCAGACAGGTTGCTAACGGAGAAAAAACATAAAGCCTACATCCTAGAACGACAAGAAGATTCAGAGAGGGAATCATGGGGGGCGGAGGATGGAGAGCCAACAGGGGTGGAAAGGGAAGAGGAAGAAGACGTGATTCAGCAGATGGACGAGGACTGGAGGTTAACAGACAGCGCTCTAACAGAGGAGGTGGACTCCCTGGAAACACTTTGGGTCAGTGATGCTGGACTCATGGCTGACTCTGAGGGGGTGGTGGAGATGGTTGACACAGACATGACGGAGGACATGAACGCAGAAGGTTTCGATGCAGGAGAGGCACTAGCTGACCCAGGTGGCCTCTCGGTGGAATGCATTTTAGTAAATAGCATTGATGAGGAGGCAGGATGCTATGCTGCTGAAAATCAACACATGAGAGAGAAGCAGGAAAGGGTACAAATCAACGAGATTGAAACAGGTGACTGTACAGCAGATGATCTGACTGAGTCCCTCACAGACGAACCTGATCTTCTTGTCAATGATGCTGATACAAAAGTCTTTCTGACAGACAGAGAGGAGAAAGAAGAAGAACTTGCTACTGACTGTGGCATCTCATGTAAAATCCTGAAGTTTGGATGTGGGCTTAAAACAAAGGAAAAGGGCGAAAATCAGCAGACCAGTTCATTTTATAAAGAGGTCTCTGATGCAAAGAGAAATGTGGAAGTGGAGGAGGATCCAACTCATGAACCTTATTATGTCTCTTCAGAGGACATTATTCAAGAAGAGATAAAGCCCAAGAATACCAAACTACGGGGAAATTATCTGTTGTCTGTTGGTAACAGAGGAGTATTGTCTGAGAAATGTGAGGAAAGTGCTAAAGATCGACAAACGAAATGTATGAACGCTGAAGATTACATGGAGCTTGGTCAAAATGGCTACATCAGCAAAAATGGTGATGAACACTTGTTAGGAGCTTATCAGAAAAGTAAAACTGACATCTCGCTGAATCATTTGGACTGTGAACCGAGGTTCAGGCTGGTATCCATCTCAGTGCCAACAAACACAGACAGCTCCCTATCATCTTTTCTATCAGAGAGCCAGTTGCTCTCCCTGAATGACTCGGATGTCTTCAGGGATGAGGAAGACCTAGAGGGTCACATAGTACCTTTTCTGGGTGACTCCACTGACACGGAGCAGGATATCAGTGAGGATCATGTCTATGAAGAACCTGGGAACTGTTCAGAGGGTGAAAATGTTTTTCCTTTTAATAGGAGGACAAGCGAGTTGTGCTCTGGCTCAATGTCACACCACATTAATAAAAATATGTCTGAAATGGGGGTGCAGTTCGTTCACAAGCCCTACATGAGTGGATTCGGACAACCTGCAATGAGCAGCAGTCCCATGCTAAGCTCAGTGCTACACAAAGGCTACAACAAACCGCATTATTTGTCCCTCTACCCCCGCTCCCTCTCGATGGAGGGTCAGGACATGCCTCTTGGTGCCTGCAGTTACAGGGAAGGATCCCCAAGACAAGGAGGTGCTATTTGTTCATCTGGAAGCTTCTCCCGGTGCTCACCTCTGTCTTCGAGTGGCTTGTCCACTCCAACATCAGTGTCAGACATCCCTCCTCCATTTGACCTGGCCTACATCACCAAGAGGCCCATCACTAAGAGTTCCCCTTCGCTTTTTATTGAGGGAGACTTGTCAGAGAAAAACAGGAAAAAGAAATCCTCCATCAAGCGCTTCCTGATGCTGAAATTTAGGCGGAAAACAGAGAGCAAGCCTGTGGTGGATGTTAGTGCACCCTCCTTTAAGACCTCTGTGGAGTTCACCCACCACATGCCCAGCAGACTGCTGGATCTTGATAGACACAGTACAAGTAGCTCTCCACTGCTCAACTCACGCTCTGCTAGTAAATCTAAATTTTTGGCTGAGCCGGATTCAACTTTCTTATTCTACAAGGACAGCAAAAGAAAAGGGAACTCTGTGGCCTTTCTCAATCGCAGCGTTGTTCGCGTGGAGTCCTTTGAGGAACGCTCTCGTGTGACTTCAACATCTCTTCCAATGACTAAGCCTCGATCCATTTCCTTCCCCAACACAGATACCTCAGACTACGAGAATGTACCTGCCATCAGCTCGGACTACGAGAACCTTCAGGTCCCCCAGCGAAGGCCTGTCCGACAAGCCCCCTTTACAGACTTCTTCGACCGTCCCGGTAGGGTGATGTCCTCTGCCAATGAGACTGATGGATATGTGGACATGAGCAGCCTCCCTGGGTTCAGGAATAAAACTCCGTCATCCGAACAGGAAGCAGAAAGGTACGTAAACAAGGCTAAGCTCTTTGAGGTTGAAACTGAGCTTTATACTAACCTGCTGATGTTTAGCAACTTTGTGTTACCCACATTTACTTTCTCAATTTAGCATGTTTGCATGCAAGCATAGTCTAAATTCCTCTAAACACAACTGGATACTCATTGAATGTTTTAGCTTAGAAGTATGGTATATTATAAACAACAGTGGTCAAAAATTTGACCTGGTGATGGCGCTAGAGAGGAGGTGTAGCTATCATCAAAGTCCAGCCTGTGCTTCTGGGGATGTCTTTGATAATTTGATCGTCAGTAGTATAAATTGGTTGGGCTTTACGTTGGATGGCTTGGACACTGTTATGTTTGGCTCCATATGGTGTGGTCTGTAATCCTCTGATTTGAGCCCCTTTCACACATGAACTCCTGACATTTTCTAGATAATTTCAGGACATTCAGGCTTTGAAATTTTCAAGGACTGCCTTTCAGACATGAACCTCACAGGGGGAGATTGTCTGTGTCACTCTTACGATTCTAAATACTATGTTTGGTTTCGGGGCAGCTGGGTAGTTCATGCTACGTGCAGGAAGAAGAGTCTTCCATAGTTATGACAGTTTCTGTGGTAATATCACTACAACATGTATAAGGATAGTTCCACAAGACAAACACAACTTTAGAAAACAATATACTGACAACTGGGGCAGGGAGCAAAACCAGTTGAAACTCGATTCAACTTGAACGACAACACATTGCCTACTCAATCTCTGTGAATGTTCTATACTCTTACCTATTCACATATGAGCTCACCTCGACTTCACTCTGTAATTTTGCGAGTGGGATTGCTGGATAAAGTCTTATCCCAACAAATATCCCATAAGCATGTTGTAATACTCCCAAATTTCCCAAAGCTGTGTGGGTTACTGTACATGTCATAGAGTTGTGTTGTGGCTTAGCATACTGGACACTCTGCTCTGGTGGCGGTTATGTTATGTGGTCTGATAATAAATTCCTTTTACCTTGCCCCTCCTGCGTATAGTTATGTCTGTCTTCAGAGACCTGAGCAAGAGGCTTGGTGAGAGCAGCCCTGGGATCACTTGAGCCAATCCTGCCGAAACCACCATGCTACTGTCTTATCCAAAGTCAAAGTTGATTCATTTGGCCTCAGGGGTACCAAAACATTGCATGCCCCCCTTTGGGCCTTATAATTCCTACCTCCTGTTGAGTAAAGGGGAAAGATTAGCAATGGAGCTCAGATAGCCCTGCAGCTAGTGCTAGCTCCATGCTAGGCCCAACACAACCCCCACTCAGCTGTCTCATCCCCGCTGTTCCAAGTCCAGGTCGGGCTAGCTTTCAATTTCATTGTTGCAGTAATTTTGACGATACTCTCTGTCGTCCAACTATGCAGCTTTCTCATCTAAATAATAAATCCTGTTTCTTTTTTCCTTCACTCTCTACCATCAGCAGTAAACTGTTAACAGAACAACCCTACAAGCTTTCTATTGAAGACTGGATTTGCAGCATTGGTCTATATGCCATTATTTAATGAATTAATATCTTTCATCATGTATCATTTTTGTATTTGCAGTGCGTTGATGCAGTTGTTAGACTTTGTGCAGCATGTTTCTTTTATTTGCAGCTTGTTTCAGTGGTTGTATTCGTTTTGGACTTTTGCATCTGCTTTTGCATTAATATTAGAGGACAAGACACTGACAAGCCAAAAATAGATATTTAAATATGGAAACAATTATAAAATGTATATTTTGATTTTCATTAACAACATCACTGGGAATAAAGTGTTAGTGGTGGGCTGTCAACATTCTAAATCAATGATATTTTCACCAAATACGCGTCTTATCTGTCAGTTTTATACTGAGATAATACTTTACATGAAATTTGATTTGTTTCAGAGAATGTATGGTCATGAAACTTTCCCTCAAAGTCATGGAAAACTCATTAAAATGCACTGGCAAAAATGTCAATGAACCCTGACCTCCAAAGTCAGTAGAATATTTCTCTTTTAGAACATGAATGTCTGCACAAAATATCTTGTACTTGTAGTGATATAACAGTTTGAACCAAAATGATGGACTGACCAGAGGAGATTCCCATCCATAGAGCTATGCAGCCACTGTGTGTGTGGGTGTTTGTGCTTGATTTTGTGCAGCTTGATGCTGCTGGGACACAATATAAGTGATCTCTGCCATCCTTTACACTTTACATCGCAAGCCTTTTTTATTACTGCTCGGACACTGAGAGTATAACCATGCCCCTGGGGAGGAGGATTTATAACTATTTATTATGTTGAATCCCCTGATGCTGAGCTCAAAGTAGGCACGGAGGACAATAAGCTACTGTACCCTCAAGCTATGAGATGTAGGTAGTGTGTGCCTGTGTGTTGTTGGGGCATGCTGGGTGGGTGGTATAGAGGGAAGCGCTAGAGATGATGGTCGTGACAAAGGCAGTCTCCTCAGATGTAAGTGAAAACAGGCTCGTTTTATTCATGAATTGAATTTAGGTGCATAGCCTCTTGCTTAAAATGAAACCCCTGGAATTCCTGCGCTGGTGTTATTTGTTGGTGTGATCAGCCACACAGTATAAACATTAACCCATCCCCCCCTGCATTCCTGTTAGCCATGCCCATATCATACAGGCCGCTCAGGAAGATTAATAGTCTGAGCATTGTGGAGTCATTGCTCTTCTCTAAGCAGACCAGAACAACAGGCTAAGATACAATCTCAGTATCTTCTGTAGTCAGCAGTTGTTCACTGCAGTACTTCCCTCTCATCACTGTGGTCATCATGTGCAAGATCAACTGTACAACAAAGCCTCGAAAACAGTATTTGGTTATATGGAGGTCAAAACTTTGGTGTTACATATAAAACTTAATGTAGTACATATGATAAAGGAACTGACTGATTAAAACGCATTCTTCATTCCATTTTCTGCTCCACTGTGCCGGCTCCTCCATCCTGTCTTTACTCACAACAGCATGACTAACAAGTGCCCTGTTAACCTTTTTTATGAGTTAGTTTAAACATCCTTTTGTTTTGGGCATCAGTTAACATTAAGGATGAAACATGTACTGTAAAGTATTTACCGTACTTTGTTGTGCTGCCCCTTGCCTACAAATCTCGTTTTTTAGATGTAAGACAACATTGTTTGAGACAGATCCCAACAATATCACATATGCATGTTTTAATACTGATATAGAACTGAGGAGTATAGGGCAAATATTTTTTTGTAGTTTCTATAATTTTTTTCAATGCTTAGTTGATTTACAGAAAAACACTGCAACAATTATGATCAAACATTTTTTAATTTGCATTTAAAAATATGCAAAATATCCTTTTAAACGAACCTTATATTAAAATAATATCCTTAGCCCAGTCAGTCAAACCAATCTGTACGCATGTACACGTGATTCCTTGAAGAGTGTTCTGCTTTTGTTGAAGTTATGCCTCCATTCATTTTTGTTTTGTGACTGTATTTGATCCTTTTTTGCACTCCATACTCTGCAGCCATAGAAAACTTCAATATAAATCAAAAAACAAACTTCTTAACACTTACGCACGAGGTTCTGTAATTATATCAAAGCAATATTTAGTTGGGCAGCAGACTCAGTTAAGGCTGTTAGTTTTACAGTAGCCTGAAGGAGCAATATTAGCAGATTGTACTTTGGAGATTGTTGGAGTCAATCCCTCATCACTGGAAATCTTGTAACAAACCTGAGGCATAAAGAAAATGACTATTTCTTATCTTCTCCTGTAATCTTTCTCCATATATTTCCCCTCCAGCCTTCCTACAACATGGCAGGAGAAGTAATGAGGGCTGTATGATTCAAAGTGTTATAAAAGCCTAATATAGCTCTGTGCATGTGCTGTGTGGTTCAAGCCCCCCCAGATATCTCATCCAAAGTTTGATCCCTTCAGCAGTAATGGACCGTGCCGCTCTAATGTGTGCAACGCTGAGACCTGAACTGCTCACATATGTTGTTCATACGCAGCTAATTTGCATCTCAGTGGGGTAAAATCCACTGGTGCTTGGAGTAAAACATGGCAACACTTGCAAGGAGTTTGGTCACATAGGAGATGATTGCAGAGCTACTGTAACTTAAGGATGTGTTTTTATTTGCATAGTTTACACCCCCTATCGAACTGCAGTCATTAGCATATTCATTTAGGCTCCCTGCAGAAGAGATTTTCATAGCGTAAAATACCGACATGCATCCCTAGTTGGGTACAGAAGTCACTGCAGGCCTTTGAGGTTTAGTTTATTGAATTCTTGGTATCTGCAATGTTTTATCTATTCACGTTTGCTTCCAACACTGAATATGTTTATTATAGTAATATTTCAAAGTAGACAACCAAAAAGGAGCATAAAGATAGCCTGGTTGCTTAAATGAAATTCATTGGATTTATTCTTCATGAATAAAAGCTGTAGGGCAGAACACAGTTTATATGGTAAAACCAATAAGTCGGATTTGTGGATACTTTTTTTTTTTTTTACACTGTTCAAAACTGAAATGATACTTTTCAGACAAGACCAAGTTTTAATCCAGGGGTAGGCAGGGGGTAGGGTAAGCAAGATGGAGCTGCAATATTTTTAAAGGATAAAAGCTTTTCATTTGTTTGTTTGTTTTTACAAAAATGTATATTGATACTGAACTTCTTTAGCATTTAAGAGAATACACATATTAGTTCCTTTGCCATATGTTTGATGGCAGAATCAAAACTTGAATGAAGAGGCTAAAACCAGCAGATTTTTAGCTTAGCTTAGCATAAATACTGGAAATTGAGGGAAGCACAAAAAAACTAAAATACCCTATTCTTTTTAACCTTTCCACACAAGTGTATTGAAGTCTAACATGTTTGTGAACTAGGTTCAGATGTGAATACAGGAGAATTTTGTTGCATTTGGACAGAGCCATGCAAGCTGTTTGTCTGTCTCCAGCCTACATGCTGAGCAAGGAAATTTGTCTGTTGACGGTAGCTTCAATCAATCTCTATTTGTGTAGCGCCAATTCATAACAAATGTCTTCCCAGGACAATTTACAAAAGAGCAGGCCTAGACTTTCCATGAAGTCATGATGGGTTTTTTTTCAATAAAAAATTCTTAAACATGTCATAATGTGCCTTTAAAATAAAACAATCACAGGAGAAGTATCTCTGTTGGGTTGAATCAAACTCATCAAAGATCCTCATGCAGAGGCCTTAACTTACCGTCATAAGAGGAAGTGTCTTTATTTTAAGAGGTTTATTTAAAATCCAGCGCTTGTGCTCACTCCTGAATTATCATCACCTTTATCCCTAATTTTTCTGTCTTCTTTATGTGCAGCAAAAAATATCATTGCTTATCAATGTATATCTGCTGTATACACATCATTTATTGTGTGCATATACATTTTGCTCTATTCACCATAACTCTTTCTTTCTTTATCGCTCATCAGTGCATATACAGAAGCCTACAACGTGTGCTCAGTGGCTCTTGCTCCACAGAACACTTCAGTGGGTGATCTCCTTAAAGAGACGGCTTGTGAGGAAGACCAGGGACGAACTTCTGATGAGGAAGACGCAGGTTCAGCCAACAGTTATGACAGACAGGTAAGTTCTGACAAATCTTCTCCTTCAAAAAATTAATGAATTCTAATTTCATGTGAAAACATTTCCAATCAAAAGGCTGAAATGATTACTTATTTAAAGGACAAAATGGAACAAAATAAATCAAAGTGAACTGCTTTCATTTTGGGCAACTGCAGTCAAAAGTCAGGCATTCAATGCGGGTTAATGGAGGTTAATAGGCCGCTACAAGGCTATCCTCATTATTTAAAACGTGATTGCTGCTCAGAGACAATGAGGAGAGGAAAGTCAGGGATAATTGTTTAAGTGGTGCACAAAATGCTTTTGTTTGTTTTTTTAAACTCTGGTTTTAAACAAAAAATAACATGATTGTTCACAGCCTGATGGCCGATCCAGAGCCTTTTACGTCGCAAAAGAGCTGGTGGATACAGAGAGATTGTAAGTCACATGCATGATGACGTTTCCTTATTGGCCATCAAATGGTCAGGTTCCCTTCACCCCCTTGATTCATTCTTTCTTTCTATGTTTACAGACACGTGAAAGCCCTCAAGCTTCTCCAGGACGTAAGGAATATACTCAGTTCTATTGCAATGTTATGCTCATGTATCTATCCAGATATTCTTTTCTATGTCGTACCATAAGATAGAGTCTGAACTTGAATTAAAGTTGCAGAGTTATTGTTAATGAAAGGCAATACATGTTCTAAAGCTCAGGTTGACCTCCTCATTCCCTGCAGATGTCAACATTTCAGATGTGTTTTTAGCAGCATTCTGTGTTTGCTTTCCATAAGTCTATATAAATTAACTTTCATTAAACAGGATTAATGATATGTGAACAAATAGGACTTTGTGTCCCGCTCGAGGGCATCCCAGAAGTGACAATGATGGAGGAACTAGTGCTGCCTTGATAACCACTGCATCAGTGGTCTTATCAATGATAGGGCATGTTGATGTGATATCTCATGGGCTCCCTGTGTTCAGATAGCATCTTTTAATAATATTGAAGAAGAGTAGAAGAAAAAACAAACAGAGAAAGGCAGACTTTAGAAGAAACTTAGTCAGAAAAAAACGTTCCTTAACATTTATTTGTGTTCCAGGACTTTCGGGAAGCAGTTGGGGCAGCAGTCGGGGATGAGGGGGACCCTGTGCTGGATGAAGAGAGACTTAGAGAAATTCTCAATGAGCTGCCTGATGTTTACATCTTGCACCGCAGAATCCTCAACGAGCTGGAGAATCGAATTCGACATTGGTGAGGCTCTAACACTGTCCCATGCTGTTAACGCAACCTGAAATGCACTCGTCCCTCTTCAGTGAAAACATTAATGCAGCTAATAGAGTGTGAAATGTGACCTAAGGACTTCTTGCATCACTCAGGGAAGAGAGCCAGAGGATCGCAGACATCTTTCTGTCCAGAAAAGCAGAGTTTTTGGTTTTCACCACTTACATTGGCCACTATGATAGAAGTATGAGCCTGCTTGACGATAGCTGCCAAACATCACCTGCCTTTGCAGCCATTGTTCACCAGTTTGAGGTAAGACCTACAGGGCATCTCAAACTTTACATACAAAATGTGTTCTGTAAAGCATCTAAACTGTTTTCATTGCAAATAAGAGTGAATCTTTGGTTTCAGTCTCATGTATCTGTTTCTTCTGCTGCCTCACTTATCTCTGCCTTACATCTCTTGTGAGCAGAGTTCAGTGTGTGTCTGGATGTGTATGTGTGTGTGTGTGTGTGTGTGTGTGTGTGTGTGTGTGTGTGTGTGTGTGTGTGTGTGTGTGTGTGTGTGTGTATGTGTGTGTGTGTGTGTGTGTGTGTGTGTGTGTGTGTGTGTGTGTGTGTGTTACATGCAGTGACAAAGATAAAGTTCATGTTTTATTGAAATAGAGGTGGTGAGAAAAGTTTTGTACTGGACTGCGTATTACAGAAAGGCACCCTTGTGACTAACATTCAACATTCAAAGATGCAAATCCTTTAAGGTTTAAACAAAAGGAGGAAGGCTAAATGAAAGCAATAATTAATTTAAAGCAACAGCTACACAAATATTTTTACAGTTAAAGGAAACTGCCCTGACACCCTAAGGAAAAATAATGGCCTCATGGTTAGACTTAAGAACAGATATGTTTGTTAAGAGCCACTCAGAACAACAGTTAAATGCTGACGTCTTAAGGCTACTTAAAATTTATGTCGGTTGCACATCCCACCTGCTTCTTTAAGCTCCACAACAGTACACTTTTATTGAGGAGTTATAATTAGCCTCAATTAAAGAACAGACACAAGACAGCGTTTTCTAAACCAGTCAGCCAGAGAAGCTATTAAGTTGATAAATTTAAGATATGAAACACATAAAACTGTATGCTTGACAATTCAACAGGGAGACTGTAGCAGCTGTTTACTATCCAATATTAAATTCAAAATTAGATTTTATTCAGCCACGGACCAAGGACTTTTACAGTATTTTCTCATCATTTTATAGACCACAGAGGAGAGGGGTTGGCAGGATGTCTTTGCAGACCTGCGCAGTTTTGTTTTTTCTGATTTAAAGTCTGCAGATTTTCCGAAGCACCCTGTGTATTAATGTTAGTGCAGGAATTGGAAACAGCTGACAAAATAAAGTACAGTACGACAAAAGAAACAGAATCTCTACGATAAATATACATTTGAATGTGTCAATCTGTGTTTGTGTGTGTGCGTGTGTGTGTGTGTGTGTGTGTGTGTGTGTGTGTGTGTGTGTGTGTGTGTGTGTGTGTGTGTGTGTGTGTGTGTGTGTGTGTGTGTGTCTTTGTATTGAGAAACAAGGTGTTGATACAAAGAGTCTTATTCACACTTAATAGAAACATACTCACATTCAGTGAGATCTCCTGCCTGTTTGATTGTTTTGTTAAAGTTCATGTGGATGTCTGCAGTATATTTGGACATTATGAGCAGGAACGATACCATCAAAATGTTTTATCTGTTTCATTCACATCAGCAGCAGAGTCCAGCAGGGGATAAAGTGTCTCTGAAACATCAGCTCCTGCAAGTCATCGTGCGTGTAGCTCAGTACCGCATGCTCCTCACGGGTCAGTCTTTTGTTCAGGTTTCTTTTCTGAATGAAACTATACTTCACTCTTATTTGTTGCATTCATTTGTTCTCTCTTCTCTTACAGATTACCTGAACAACCTCTCCCCTGATTCCCAGGAATATGAAGACACCCAGGGTATAGTAAACAAAGAGCAGAGGCAGTGTGGACAGAGGCTGCTCACTGTTACTCACAGGGGAGCTGTACTGGCCTGTGTTTGTGGCTCTGTGTTTACACTGAATTTATTTGCACTCATTTGGCATGGAGAAACGGCCATGGGAGAGCCAATTTAGATCTTTTTTTGTTTGCAGTGGTAACCCACCAAGCAGTCATTTCAGCTCTTCTTATGTGATGACTGTGATGTGTAATTCATGAGAAGACAAGTTGCAGCAACACTCTCTCTTATGTTCGATAAGGGAGTCACCTTACTCCCAGCCAGCAGATGCAGCCGGGCCTCTGACTCATCACTTTGATGTTTTTATGACTTTTCTACACACAAAAAACAAAGAGACACTTCAACATTATAAATACTCATTGTGGAAGCGTTCTTATAGTGTTGTCTCTGATTCTGTGCTTCGTCACTGTGTTTGTCTTTAACAGCTGCTGTGGCCGTGGTATCTGACTTTGCAGACCAGGCAAATGACAGCTTAAAACAGGGGGTAAGTTTCATGTGACATACAGTATGTAAATCTGTAGGCTAAAACACAATATGCACTGAATGCATGGATTAAAAAAAACTTTACACCATAATTTAAGACAGAATTTACACTTAGCTGGTGCAACAGGGCACTGAACAGATTGTCAAAGAAGGAAAGTTACGTGCTTCCAGTGCAAATGTAGTGTCACTTTTTACATTACAGGTTTGACCAAATATTTTCACAGGAAATAATATGAGAGCAATTTCAGCTCAATAGATTAACACAAAGATGCCCGTAGAACAATTTCTACAAAAGTGACCATGAAGGTCTTGTGAATCCCTTTATCTTCATTGAGGAAAAATCATCAGTTGTCAAAAATTGTTGATTTTACTTTTGACCTAAACACTTATCCCGTATACCATAGTACAAGTCAGTTCTAATTGGCAAACTTTAGCATGCCAACACTCAGATGAGATTGGGACCATGACGTAGCAGTCTCTGAGCCTCATACTTGGCTGTAGACTTTACGGGATCACAGATAATCTAGTTTTGGTATCATGAAATTGTAAATAGTCTGACTCCACCTTTTTAAAGAGAACCATTTATGTCTTACCTGCCTGATCCAGGTTAACTTTGCCCTAAAAGTGAGTCATTGATAAAGTTATAGTTCAGAGGAATGAGACTGATAATGCTCTTTCATGGTTTCTCTAATTTCAGCGTCTCATTCTCTCTTTCTGGCTTTTTTCTGTCTTTGTGCCTCAGGAGAACTTGTTGCGTCTGGTCAACATAGAGTACAGCGTACTCGGCCAGAGGGACCTGCTGCAGCCTGGCAGGGTACGACTCTGATAACAGCATTGTTTCTGTTTTGAACTGCCAGCCCACCCTGTCTGCCCTGCACCACCCCCGCGCTGCCCTTTACACAATCAAACAGCTGGGAATCCCCAGCCGGACAGTTTTCATCTATTTTTTAAAACGGCTTTTTTTTATATATGTAAACCCGTAACTTGTCATTCTCATATATCATTTTGCATTAATGATCATGTCAGTTTGATTTGATCCTGTGTATGTGCTTTTTCAAATCAGGTCTTTGTGAAGGAGGGCACCCTGATGAAGGTCAGCAGGAAGAGTAGACAGCCCCGCCATCTGTTTTTGGTAAACATTGTCTTGCTTTTGAATAGTCTTATAGACAAAAATCCCATTTTTCTTAATTTGATAGTATTTTAAAAGTAAGATGTGATTTTAATTATGTAAATACACTAAGATCTAAAAACATGTCTTTGTAGAGTTGCTCAGCTTCTGCCTGGTCAGTTTCTGTGTCCAGACTGAGCTATTAAGAGCAGGTTTCCTGACAGGATGTTTCTGAATACTGACTTCCTGAGCCAGTTCTCTCCTGACAGCACAGGGAAGGACAATGTCAGTTTCTTATACTGAAGGCTCCTGGTACACCTGTGAACTCTAGGACTCTGATTGTGTGGTCTAAATAATGGTCCAATATATACAGTAAATATTTTAAGTGCTCTCAGCTGACTATGATAATGCTAAATTAATGATGACTCAGTAAGGGAAGAGGTCTCTAATTAATATGGTTAAAAATATAAACAATGCCGTTTCTTACCACCTGTCTCAACCAGGTTTACACTAGTCATACATTATGAAAGAGTCGAAGATTACACCCTGTACTACGGGAAACGATTAAATCAAGATACATTAGAAAATGAAACCTTTTGCAAATTATCCATAGAGCATCATCATCATTTGCTGCTTGTCCCTCCTAGTATGTTTTGAAATGTGTGGTTCAACACTTAAAAGGTATTACTAGAATACACAGAGACAGTGAATAAAATGACTCAATAGAAAATAATACAGGAGGGAATGATGCACCTTGACATCAACTTTATCTATTTAATGCACTTTTGTTATTTGTTTATGATCATAATAATTGTTACATTAAAGATCAAAAAAGACATTTTGAAGACGCTAAAGGCCTCCATCTTCAAACAATAATTTGAAAGTGTTAAAATACTTTCTACTCCCTCCTCCTGATTAAAATATATCTAACTGATAAAACTACAACGTTATATACTCATTGTAAAATGTTACCTAAATGTTAATTCTCAGTTTGATGCACTTAAAGCTTCAGATTTGTACATTGTTTCCTCGACCAGACCATGAGTGTCTTCCTGACTAGTTGTGACATCACAAATTCATGTTTGTATGTTCCCCCAGAAGATTGTGTGAAAACAGCTGTCAAACCCTGCTCATGCATCAATCAGCAATGTGAAGCTCACCAATTAAAATAAAGTAACAATTAGCACATTTCATCCTGAAGAGGGGTCTTAAATTGAGGTCTTGTGCTTCATATTTTAGGTATAGATTAACCAGTGGAGATATGTTGTATTTGGAGAAGACAAAGTTTCCTTTAGGTGGAGAGTAAATGGGGGTGTCACTGGAACTTTGTAAATGTGCGGAACCCTTAAATGAATGTGAATGAATGCAAAGAGTTTGGTTCACATATTTAACAATTTATGAATCAAATGTGTGAATGCATAGCCAAGTTCTGTATAAGTCTAGAGTGCCACCTAGTGGAGAAATGCTGCACATACATGAACAACAAAGTCTCTTTTTATTGTGCATTAGGCTTTTTGTTGAGCTTTTTGCCCAGTTAATGTAGAGAGGACAGTGGATAGAGCAGGAAACACAGGGATGAGAGTGTGTGGAATGACATGCTGGGGTTGGAGTTGAAACCAAGCCGCCCACTTCAAGGACTATAGCCTCTATACTTGGGTGCATATAACCACTAAAGGCTTTCCTTTGCTCCCATTTAAATAATTTCATAACTGTGACTAATGAGTGTTATCTCTGTCTGTTGTCAGATGAATGATGTGCTGCTGTACACATATCCTCAGCAAGATGGGAAATACAGACTGAAGAATACTCTGCCCCTCACTGGGCTGAAGGTCAGAGTCCTCCATGGACCATTTTCTACTTTTCAAATAGACAGACGTTTTAATGAAATTACATCTGAAAGTATTTTTCCCAACACAAAACTTCTCAGCTGATAAAACATGAAATAATAAGTAAGATTTATTTTTGGGCTTTTTGCCTTTATTTGGATAGGAAAGTGTTTGCTCCCATACTGTCAGACTGGGACTTTTTCCATTCACTCTGTCTTTCTGGTATTTAATTTATCATTTTATTAATGTCCCAGGTCAGTAAACCCATCATAGAAAATGCCCAAAATGCCCTGAGGATTGAAGGAACAGACATCTCCATCACGCTGTCTGCAAGGTAGGACACATGGTACTGTTTGAATAATGGATAGTGTTGAATAATGGCAGCGATTAAAGGTTGAAACCTTTTGAACCCTAGTGGGTATAAAATGTTTTGTGCTGCAGCTTGGTGTTAATAATTGCATTATTGTAATAGTATTGTGATTGTGTGTTGATTATTTGCAGTTCCTTCATTGAAAGAGAAGACTGGTTTTACACTCTGAGCCACACTGTGACTGAACATACCAGGGGTTCTTCATCATTTAACAGCTGCTCAGGAGAGGTGAGCAAACAATAATGTATCTTTTTCACTTGCTCTTTTAGTCACCATGAGATTGAGTCAGTTTGCGTCATGCAACTAGAGTGTCTCATGCAAATGCCAATCACCACAGTTTGATAGGGTTTTTGTGTTTCTGTTTGTTTGTTCCAGGCAAGAGACTGTCTGCGCCTGGCTCTCGGAGAAAAAGCTCCTACACTTGTTCCAGTCTCACAGGTGATGATGTGCATGAACTGCACCTCAGACTTCAGCCTCACTCTGCGCAAACATCACTGCCATGGCTGTGGGAGAGTGAGTCACACACAAATAAACATTGTGCTCTATAATGGTTTTCTATCCGTTAGACAGGATGCGACAGATTCTGCCAAAGTGTTTTTGACATGAATGCACTCATTCTTTCGCCATATTTTTATTGTTCCTGACAAGCCTTTATTTCATTTGACACAGATTGTTTGTCGGAGTTGCTCAAGGAACCGATATCCACTGAAGTACATGAACAACCGCCTGGCCAAAGTCTGTGATCACTGTTACAGCGAGCTTAAGAAGAGAGGTGACTACTACAATATCTACGGAAAGACATCAGACATCTATTTCCAGCTAACTCAAAATCTAGAAAGCAGTAAATAAAGGAGCAAGTCATCCTTGAAACAGTAATCTTTTGTTCAAAGGACTCTGGATGAGGATGTAAAATGTATGGAACATGTCTAAATTAAATCTCTAAAGCTAAGCCTGAGGTTCATTTAGAAAAAACATTTCAATTAAAATAACTCACATTTGCAGACAAACAACAACAACTTTTGTGTTCTTTAATTGTTACTCATGCTTATCCTCAATATGATTCACCAAAGAAGCATATTGCCTGTGCTGTGTTGTTTTTGTCATACACGAAGACTTACAGTTAACCTTCTGTGTAGCTCTGGTAGTGCGGGTGTGACAGTCTTTGTCCTTGTCCTCTGCTGTAGTGAAATTGTGTATTTCTTTAGGAGGAGATGTGTCCTTGCTGTTAGGTGACTGTAGCCCTCGTCCAAACCGCTCCAGTCGTCCCCTCTCTTCTGTGTTCCAAAACATTCATCCTCCAAACATCTGGAGACATCGCAAAGGAACCGCCTCCTTCACCCAGGTACACTACACCTTCTAAATGTTCTCTTCTCAGAAAAGGGCTCTGTAATGCCATCTAAAGCCGTTTACACATTGAGATTCTGCACAGGGCCATAACAAAGTTCTGCTCTCACTATGACATTGTACTTACACATTGCATCCACAGAAGGCTTATCAGTGTGTGATTTTACATTGCGTTGAAGTGTTGCAGTAGGGTTGCAAAAGTGTGAAAAGCAGGGTGTGTAAACTCACACCAGGAACTTCACACAAATTCAGACATGCACGCACACACACGGCACTGCTCTGCCCTACTTCCTCCAACATTACACAGTACTACCATCACCACACTATTAGGCCTCTGCTATTCTGTTACTACCTCCGATGGCAGATCAGGGGCAGAATGACTTTGCCCCACAATGTGGTACACATGTTACAATTTGCAGACGAAATGACCAGGGGCGTAAATATCCTGTCTTGAACTGGCAATATGTAAATGCCATAAGAAACATTACCATCCCCTTCCTGCTTCCATGCTGTACAGGTGACAGTGTCAGAGGAGGGTTCTATCAGCGGCAGTCTGCATTGCAGCAAGAAGAGCAAGAGGAGCTGGAAGAGACTGTGGTTCCTCCTAAAAGACAAGGTGCTTTACACCTACAGAGCTCAAGAGGTGAGGGGAAATATGCACTCCCCTTTAACCTAAACAGCATATATTCACACTCACACAGTGAGACAGTGAGGTCCAAAGCTGTCAGGTTTTGTTGTTCGATTACTAAAAGTGCTGAAATGCCATAAGTTATATATCTGTATCTTTAATCCATTTCTGTTTCCCTGATATATTCTCTGTCTGCAGGAAAAAGTAGCATCTGAGAGTTTACCTCTGCTGGGATTCACAGTGAAGCTACCTGACAGACTGCAGGGAGAGGAGGAGGCAAACATCTTCCAGCTTTACCACAAAAAAACCTTGTATTACACCTTTAGAGCCACAGACAACTACACAGCCCAGAGGTGAGATAAATAGACATCTAATAACTTCAAAATGTTTGAAGACTTAGCATGAAAAATTGTAAGTCTTACTATTACCTCCAACTATAGTAATGATGTCTGGTTTGCTGTTAAAGGCTAAAAGACTCACCATGCCTGGGTTTCTACTGATCTGTTTTTAGTATTTGGAAAGAAACACAAGCATGAATGTGTCTTCTTAATAACTTTGGTTTGGGATAGGCATTTAACATTGCCTCATTGACAAAGTGTACGAATAATTCTTGACAGATTGTAGGCATCACAACAAGTTGGAAATGCACATAATCCAGTTTGGAGTTTTGATGTTTCTCTGGGCAGAAGTACAGACTGAGTTTAATGAACAAGAAAAATTTGTGAAACTTACTTCTTTTATGTTCATTCAGAAGCACAGTTCAATATGACCTCCGCTAATAATGTCTGTCATGCAGAACAGGCGCAGAAAAAAAGTTATCTTTAAACACAACTGCATGTCACATAGTTTTGTTTCTCATTTTATAATCCTCTCTTCTTACAGGTGGGTAAATGCCATGGAGGAAGCCACAGTTTTATAGGATCAGCTGTTCTGGGTAGTTGGCTGGAAATAGAAGTCTGATGTCTTTCTTCTGCTACAAACCGACTGTGAAACCAAAATGGGAAGATTATCTGATAATGTCTGCAAGTTGAAACTTGCCTTGCTGGACTGAATAAAAATAAGACGCGATGTTCTTTGAGAGGGGACATGATTACCTACTTTGTCAACCTCCTGTGTCCCCCGCCTGCTGCTGCAGCAGGTGTGATGCTGAGAGCCTCGACAGGCGTTGGCCCAGATACCTGCCAGAGTAAAACGTTACATGGTGTGACCTGTATTTCCTCCCAGAAGCTGATCAGAGACATTCCTCCAGATCAAGGAGAAAACTATTGGGGGGAAAGACATTCTACGATTTTAATTATTTTTGCACATATCTAATATTTTAAAACCACATGAGAAACCATACAAAATCTGGACATATTATCAGTCATTGTACTGTTGCTTCCAGGGAGGCTGAAAAAAACTGTAATTTATTTCACCGCCACTCAAAAATACCAAAATCTGACATGGCCTGATGAATAATGTAGTTATACCTTCACTTCTACATGAGTTCTTTCACTGGATTAAATGACTCATATATTAACGCACAGGCTGTGACGTCAAAGAGTGAGTAATTTAGATCTTATAGAAAAGTGTGTTGCTTTTCCATGTACTGTATTATAGGAGATTGTCATGCCAGTTAATGCATAATTATGATATTTTCTAGACTGATATTAAAAGGAATTAATTAAATTAGTTTACCTTAATCACTTAGGCCGAATAACTTCAGTTACTGTACTTAACCTAATTTACTTAAAGTGCTTTTTATCATGCTTTATTGTTTCAAATACTTTCAAAAAGAAGAATGTACATTCTTTTTTGTATTAAGACTCAATATCCAGAAATGCACAGATCAACTCTGGATTCAACTGTACTGTACTTGATGTTGAGTTGTTTAAATGTCTGACAATATTATTTTAAAATGAAGTAATGAGGCTGAAACGACAGAGACGGTCTTTGTGTTTTCTATTTGCCTTCTTGCTGCCCTCTAGAGGGCAAGTGGGCGAAACTTTCAGCAGGCTGTCATTGACTTTCTGTCATTGTGGCCTTGCTAATGGAGCTCTGTAAATACATTAAGGCTGGACGTTAGCCTCCATGCTATACCCAACAGTTTTCACTCCAGTTAAACACACTATTTATGAGCATGTCTCGTCAGTTCTGACATGTAGACCATGTGTGGTCTGTTTTCATGAAAAGCCAAGCTGGCTGTGTGGCTCAGATCTCACTTTATGCTGCTTGGGAGACTGACTGAGTGACACGTAGGCCAGTGTGCAGTGCGGCCAAAGAAAGGCCAGGCCTGCTCTGCTTCTTGTCCTCCCCTGAGAATTCTTGACCTGAATAATTTCAGGCAGAAAGTTTGCTTTCTGGGGCTGCTGAAAAGTTGCTCATACCTCGTCCTATATAGAGGACAGATCATTCATCACTTTGCTCTCCCTATCTAGTCCTATTTCTGTTCTCTCCTCTCTCTCTGTCATTTCCCCCTTTTTTTATGTTCTAAACTCTTCAGAGTTGTCTTCCCTTTGTTGCTGTTGGTTATGACACACTACACAAACTCCTTACAAATAACAGTTTTTATAATAGCTTATCATCCCACATTGCCTGCACCTGTTTCTTCACACTAAATCCTGCTGCTGGCCTAACTTCTTTTAATTGGCTGTTGTTCAGCGCTCTTTGTGAATGCTGCATGAAAAGATGTACCAGATTTTATCCTCATACAACCCTAAAACTGACTCAAGAAAGAATCTGTTAAAATACTTTTTTAAACTGAACTGAGAGGTGGTGTCAGTCAACAGCTACCTAAAACAGAGCCTTCATGTTTTTGTTTTTAACATACTTCTGCTTATGTTTATCATGTCACACCACAGCAGCTGGAACAGGAAATCGTTCATTTGAGCGTGTATAAGGGTTCATGCTAAAACTGCAATAAACAGTCACTCTCCTGCATGTGATTATTTGAAGAAATGAAAATCAAATGATGAAAGCTTTCTGTCACCAGATGGTGAGAGAGATTTTTTTTCATTATGGCGAGGCTGCAACAGTGTCATAATCCGAGTTTACGTCCATATCGCTGCAGGCAGGAGCTATGCAGAGAGGAGCAAATAATCAATCATACACACACAGCCTACTCAATAAGGTCGGACGCTTTCAGCTCTTTCATACGTGCTGGGCCTCAGGAATTTCAAAGAAAAAGAATAAAGCCAGATAAAGTTAAATATTTCTCTTAATCTGCGGCATGGTCTTCATTTATGTTGCAGTGGCAGAAGAGTTGTGAAAAACATTTCTTCATGGCAAACTCACTGAGAAACTTACATTTTTCATTTTAGTCTGAGTACTCAGTGCAATGTTTGTGTTCATTTTGTGAGTTAAAACAGCATGCTTTCTTATCTTTCACAGAGTTGTGTGGGCAACGGCTCCTCAGGGGGGAAAGAAAATATTTGATCACATAATAGGCACAGATTTAAACAAAAACACTTCGAAATAGGACATATGGGAGAATATAGCTGTTTCCACTTGACATTGGCTTGACATTTTTGGGTTTACACCATGTCTTGTGTTTCTCGATGGCAAGAGGGAGGGGCTGGGGGAAGTGTGAGAAAGGCTGGGAGAATAGAGACATACTCATATGTCCCACTTTGCAAACTCTTTGCAGCCCACACTGCCAAGTCAATGTTACACCTATTCCACCTCCCCCTAGCTTTAAATAGCCTCTCCCTCAACAGGACAAACAGAGAAAAACACAGCCTTCAGCACACTCCTCACCTCTGACTGAACATTTATTATCCCTGTTGCCTAAACATAGAGGCTGCATCGTGTTTTTCATTCTTCAGTGACCATTCTGTCACCAGCAGCTAGAAAGCTAGCAGAGAAAGTATAGTATAAACAAATGTGGGGCCGGCAGCTGTCACTTTGAGATGTTTAATCTGTCCAGAGTCTTTAACCTAGAAAAGAGAAGTCAGAGTGTTTTGTTTCTTCTTTTATGTTTGAGTTTCAATATTTGGGGAAAATATCCTAAATGACTTGCTCACTGAGAATAAGATGAGAAGATTGATACCTCTTTTCTGCCTGTCAGGCCTTTCTTGTTAATATGAAGCTAGCACTAGCTGTTTAGCTTCAACTAGCAAGAAGACAGGAGAACTAGCAGCACTGCTAACTCTGCTCTGTTTTAATCGGACAAGTTGTGTTTTATTGGGGGTTATGTTTGTCAGACCATTTCTTGGCTAGGAGCAGCTGGTAGGCAAACAGCAGACTCCAGGAAGTCAATTTTAAGAAATAGTCTGGCACACAGCACTAATAAAAATGACAATGTTTTGTGCAATTCCCATGGTTGTTTTGTTTTAGTATTAATTGTTTTCATAATTGTATTCAATTAATTAAAATCCAGATAGATTATTAAGAGCTTCACATTGATTTATTGTCTATGGAGAGACCCAGGCAAGCTGATTCCCAGTCTTTATTTCAAACTATTCCCCACCTTCATATTTAACAGACACATGGCCTTTACTGTAAGAGTAGCATCAGTCTTAGCATATAACTCTGAAGAGAGAAAATTAGTTTATCACAATGTTACAATTCACTTAGCAGATGCTCCAAAGCAACGTACATCAGAGATTAAATACAACAGCCATTCACTGAAGCAGTGGGAGAAATGCAGGGTCTTGCCCAAGGACACATTGGACATGCTGTTCAGCTGGGGATTGAATCCTTGACCTTTCAGTTGAGAGGCAATGACTCTACCAATTGAGCCACAGCCGTCCCACAAGGCAGTACACTACTTACAGACATCAATCAATCAATTCAATCAATTTTTACATTTACATTTCAAAGACACTTTTCAAAAAGCAGGTAAAAGACCTTACTTATTGTTATATTACAAAGACCTGGCCTATCCATCATGAGCACTTTAGCAAAGCAGGACAAGTTACCGTCGTAACTGCTTTATTAAAAGGCAGAAATCTTCAGCTGGATCCCCGGCTCATGATGAAACAGCCTTCACAGGCCTAGACTGCTCCGGGCTTGGAAGGGATAGGGGGACAGATGGGATAAAATGCAGGAAGAGGGATAGGGAACAGGGGGGGGTTGTTGTTCAGGCAAGCCGTCCATCAACGATCCGGTGGGGGGCGTTGTTCTGGCAGGCCATCAACCAACCATCCACCAACGATCCCGAGGAGCCTAAGAGAGTTCAAGAGCTCCCAGGAAAGTAGGTGGTTAGTGACTGAGATTTACAGATAGATACATGCAGTAATATGATGTACTGTATATGCACAGAGAGAGAGAGAGGAGCTCAAGGGGCCAGTTCCCCCGGTAGTCTAAGCCTATAGTAGCATAACTAAGAGCTGGTCTACACCAGCACCAGCCCTAACTATAAGATTTATCAAAAAGGAAAGTTTTAAGTCTATTCTTAAAAATACAGAACCCCGGCTGGAAGACGATTCCAGAGGAGAGGAGCCCGATAACTGAAGGCTTTACCTCCCATAGTACACTTAAAGGACCATAATGTTCTCGAGGGGCAGTACGGCACTAGTAGCTCCTTAAAATAAGATGGTGCCAGGCCATTTAGAGCTTTGTAAGTGAGAAGAAGGATCTTGAATTCTATTCTAGACTGTATAGGGAGCCAGTGCAGAGAAGCCAACACAGGAGTAATGTGGTCCCTTTTCCTAGTTCTAGTCAGTACACGAGCTGCAGCGTTCTGGACTAGTTGAAGAGTCTTTAGAGACTTACCAGAGCACCCTGACAAAAGAGAATTACAATAATCCAATCTGGAGGTAACAAATGCATGAACTAGTTTTTCTGCATCATTTTGCGACAGGATATTCCTGATCTTGGATATATTACGAAGGTGAAAATAGGCTGTTCTTGAAATTTGCCTGATGTGAGAGGTAAAGGACATATCTTGATCAAACACAACATGGTAACATTTAAATAATCTGTGAATTACGCAGTATTTGCTGTTTGGCAATATCAAAGGGATTAAACTGCTGACTGCTTCATTGGCTAACTGTAAGCTCTGCATGCCATAATTACGCAGCCTGATCCTCAGCCTATGTGTAGGCCAGTGTGTATGGCTATGTCAGGCTGTGTTTTCTGGAGAAAGAACAGAAAAATAGGTGTTCCTTAATCTTTAAACATTTGTCAGCATCAGAGAGGAGCAGACCGACAATGAAGTCTTTAGTGCACACATAAAGCTCAGAGGAGAGAGGGGAACACTGACACACCTGTGCCCTTTTAGTTTGCTGTTCCTGGAAGAGTTTACTTTGTGCTGCAGCTGCACATATATATTTAATTATTATTAACTTCACCTAAGCATGCACTTATGACATATTCATGTTGAAGGCTGTGTCTGTATTTTGGTTTTCTGCTTAACCAATATTTCATGTGTATCATTAGATGAGAACTGAATAGCTGTTACTTTCCTAACACGTATGTTAGCCTATATTTGGTGTGTGTGTGTGTGTGTGTGTGTGTGTGTGTGTGTGTGTGTGTGTGTGTGTGTGTGTGAGTGTGTGTGTGTGTGCGTGCGTGCGTGCGTGCGTGTGTTTGTGTGAGTGTGTAAATGTCTAGTATGAAATAGGCTAAATAAAGACTGCAGATCATTTGGAATTCGTGAAGAACAAGAAAAGATCATTTAGCTGCAAGGGAGCCAAATTTCCTCTTCACCAGAAAAACCATCTCAGTCCTCAAAACCACCCCCGCAGCACACAGTTCAAGCCACGTGACCCCATGCCTGCAACAAACACGCTTTAAGATGAAAAATGAAAAACTAAAAACAAGACAATATGCGGTGGCTTGATCTAGCGCCAACCCAGCAGCAATGCAGATCTCCATGTAGCCTAAAGCCTATCTATGCAATGATATTTTCAAAGCATCCAGGGGAGTAAATGAAAAATAACCTGTGTGTCTTGGAAATATGTGTGAGAAATCAAGTAGCCTAATGTAAAGTGTGAAAAAA